GCGTGGAAAAAAAAAAAAAGAAGAAAAAAAAAAAAGAAGGTATGATAAAAAAATGCAAGGTTACCCACATTTTTTTTTATTCTCCCGAGCAGCTCCGTGGCCGTGTGCGGGGTACAATCCGATCCAGGGGGATAGGGGAGGTTGCGAGATGGAGGAGAGGAGAGGAGGAGGGCATAGAGTTTGGTTATCGGTGAATAATACCGACGCACTTTTCACGCAGACACCTACGGGCGGCCGACTCGTGCCCGCTTTGAACCTGTTAAGCGGGTAATTCCTTGAGACAAAACGCCCTCCCGTGCCGCCAATTCGACGTGAGCTACGACGCGTACGCGATTTTAACACGAAGGGAACTGGCTGTGATATACGAGCCTGGAGCTGGATTCTCTTTAAGCGAACGAATAAATAAATCGTTTGCTTGGAAAATTATCGAAGCTTGGCAAATAGAAATTTGTAAACGTCGGGAATAATTATCGGAATCCTTGGTACGTGTTGATGCGTGTTCTTACTCGGCTCAGCTCGTTCGAATTTTCGAGTTTCAACGGACACCGTGAGTTTTATTTATAAAAGAAAAAAAATGCGAATTAAATTGATTTTGACTTGGATAATTATTGATGAATTTTTATCGCGCTTTATACTCGCGTTACGAGAATATAACGTTTTCGAAAGCAACGAGTAACGAAAGAGTAACTCGTCTTCTTCGGTTAACAGGTTAATAGGAAGTTAGATGAACTGCGTTTACGGTGAACTGGGTCGGTTGACCTTTCTCCCAGGGAATGAATTTTTTTTTTTTTCTTTCTTTTTCGATGAAAGAAAGAAGCCACGTCACTGGCGTTAGAAGGGCGAAAAAAAAAACGTAATCAACATCGATAAAACTTGTGGATATTACGTATATAACTGTTGAAAAACGAGACACAAGTTTGTCACGATTATTTTCTAAGAAATTTTCAAAGAAGCATATAATAAAGAAGGAATTAAAAAATATTTTTCGATATTTCAAAAACTTACTTTACCTTTTTTTTTTTTTATGATTTTTAATGCTGCACAATTATTTGCCAAGCCCCGTGATAGTTCATAAATTTTCAAAAGATAATTAAAGTGTCCATGCAATGTTTTGAAAAAAACCGACACAAGCAATTAAATTATCCCGCAATATAAAATTCAAATGACTATAAATTACGGACTTATAAGCCTGAATACGTGCTAGGCC